GGCACCTGTGGTCCCAGGTACTCAGGAGGCTGAGGCAAGGGGATTGTTTGAGCCCAAGAATTTGAGATTGCTGTGAGCTATGACACCAGAGCACTCTATCCAGGGTGATAGAGTGGGACTCTGTGTTTTTAAAAAAAATAGACTAAGAGATGTGTTAGCATCCACTGAAACAGTGCACTGAGACATGGTAATCTCATCTGGAAGAGAAGCATAGATGTCGAGAGACAAAGGAGGCTATGGGAAAAATCCAGGGATAACAGACCTCTTAAAGAAAGCCTCTTCCATGGCACCTGTGGCTCAAAGGAGTAGGGCACTGGCCCCATATGCCGGAGGTAGTGGGTTCCAGCCCAGCCCCAGCCAAAAAACTGCAAAGAAAAAAAAAAGAAAGATAGCCTCTTCCAGCAGGAAAACTTAGACAAGAGATTTTAAGGGAAAGTTAATCTAAGAGAGATGGGGAGAGAGAAAGACAGAAAGACAGACAGAATGTCCATTCTGAAACCAAACGGCAATTTGAGATCACTGAAGTCTGTGGTTCTTAGCAGAAGCAGCAGGAATCACATATTAGTTCTACAAAATTATCACTAGAAGCTTGTTTAAAACGAAGAGAGAATAGGTGATAAGAACTGAATTAAAACAAATTTCACATATCCTTTTTTCTTTCATCTTTCTTTGTAAAATATTTCATTAATGGGCACCCTTAGAGCTCATAAATCAATCTCCTCTTTTGTTTTATTAATGTAAATACATTATGTGAAAGTACCTGCTTTAAGGACCTACATTTGAATATTATGCCTGTATGTCTGCATATGTAAAAGTGATGATGATGCCTAACACCTTTGGGTACTCTGTGCAAGGCGGCTTTAAATGCTTTAGCTATATTAATAAATTTAATCCTTATAAAAAGGCAATGGGGCAGGGATTATCTGATAAATTTCCCTGGACATTATCAACTGTCCATCTTTAAGTTCAAAACCACTTCACTGGGTATATCAACAAATATACCTCAGCTGGTGACAGTACTCTACATTGAAAAGAGGAGACTTTTTTTTTTTTTGAGACAGGCGCTTCAAGCTGTCCCCCTGGGTAGAGTGCTATGGCATCTCAGCTCACAGTAACCTCCCACTCCTGGGCTCAAGCGAGTCTCCTGCCTC